AAAAACACTCATCAGACCTCGGGGAATGCTATGGTCCTCACCACCCGAATAGAACGGTAGGTCTTTATAGACGTATTTTGAGCAACTTTTATACTAAGTCTTGGTCTTCACCCGAATAGAATGCCAAGTCTTTATAGACGTATTTGAAAGAGCGTTTAGTTTAGATGCAACAAAGATGATGCGATAATGACACGACGTTCCCTTCGCGTGAAGACAGTAAATAACAACCCCAACCCAATCTCCATCCAATAGCGGGAATTGAGTTCTCCCTCCCTCCCCTTCTGCTCACAAGCCCTTTTCATGTTCTCTTTATTTGTCCTGCGGTATTGGAAGGCTGCATTCGAGTGGGGGGAGAAGAGTTGAACGGGATAAAATCAATTGGATGAGGAGATCGGATGATCAGAATCCCAAAATGACGCGTGTGACCTCGAAGATGAGTTGGTATACCTCTCTCGGTCTTTTGCATGAGATCAACTGTACTTTTGCTCCACTCGGTTCAATATCTAAGTTACAAATGAAAAAAAAAACATGCATCAGACCTCGGGGAATACTATGGTTTTCACCACCCAAATAGAATGCTAGGTCATTGTAGACTTATTTTGAGCAGCTTTTAGACTAAGTCCAGGTCTTCACCCGAATAGAACGCCAGGTCTTTATAGACGTATTTGAAGCAGCATTTAGTCCAAGTGCAGCGAAGATGTTGCGATAATGATACGGCGTTCCATTCGAGTGAAAACAGTAAAGAATAACCCCAACCCGATCTTCAACCAATAGCGGGAATCGAGTTCTACCCCCCTCCCCCTTTGTGCACGAACCCTTTTCATGTTCTCTTTATTTGTCCTGCAATATTGGAAGGCTGTATTCGAGCGGGGGGAGAAGAGTTGAACGAAATAAAAGTTTATTGGATGAGGAGATCGGATGCACGTAATCCCAACCTGAGAGAGGAAATGGGATGCATCAAGCAGGGTTTGTCGGTCAGAATAGAGATAGATTGCTCCAGATCGGCTTCATCAGATCGGGAATCGATTGGAGCGAAGCGATGGGGGCGAAAGGAGAAAGCGCGGGAAGAGTAGGAGGAGGACGCCAAGGAGGAGGAGGAGAGGAAAAAGGAGAAGGCGGAGGGGGAGACGAAGTTGATGTTGGACTAAGAGAGGGACAAAAGGTGACAGCCAAGAGGGGAGGAGGATGAGGAGAAGGAGAGGAAAGGGTGGAGAAAGAGAAAGAGCGAGAGGAGCGGTAAGCGGGCCATGCTAATCTCCTGTGTATAGCGAGCACACAAGACAGAGAGAAAAAGGAGGAAAGAGCAGGTGGGAAAATAACAACGAGGAGGATGAGGGGGGCCAAAACGACCAGGGGGAGGATGACCATCAGCACGACAAACAAGGAGAGTTTGACCACAAATGGGAGGAGCAGGACAAGAATGACAAACAAGAGGGGGAGGACCAACAAACTGAGGAGACCATAGGATAGACGCACGAACACAAGATGCATTCCACCTTCTATGACCGACCAGCGTCCACCTGCATCCAATGTACAACAGCCCGCGCCGTACCACCGTGGCGGTTTTTGTACTCCGCAAAAGTACGAAATGCAAACTCTTACTAATCTATCTCCACGTCGCCAAGTGTGAAAAAGGAAAAAAAGCACCCTGCTGTGAGAAGTTTTTTTTTCTTCTTTTCCCCCCCCCTCACAACTACGAAATCCACGGGCGTGAAGAAAAACAAATTCTGCTCACGGCAAAACACACATATGCGGTTCAGTGGATTGTCCTCTGATTTTTGGCCTTTGTTTTCCATGTTTCAAATATTTCTTGGTTGTACACATGTGGTAAATTAAATTTCGATACACCATTCTTTGCAACTGTTCTCTTACCTTCCCACTGTTTGTTCTACTGTTTGTTGCTTCACACATTTTCTCTCATCAGCTCTGTTGGGCCGCGGCATCG